AGCCCAGCAGGTAGAGTAGTTACAACAGGCCCGTTTGCAGACACAGTCTGGAGCGCAAAGATGCAGAAATGACCCCAAAGAGAAAGATGAAAAGAAGAACCCAAACACCAGCGGAGAAACACCAGCAATGCTTGAAGCTGCTTTTTTAAGACACCACTGCTATTAATCATTTTAATTTCCCATTTCAATTAATTTTAAGAATCTAAGAATCTTGACCAGCGAACATGTTTTGACTTTCATGTGACTAAGCTATTTGTATTACCTGGGGACCTCTGATCATTTGTCACAATTGCAGAGGACGTTTTAGAGGTCACATATTATTTACGACACTCTTCTCCATGTTCCTCTGACTCTAACATGTGTCTCTAGTCTGTCTACAAACCCCCCAGTGATGAGAAAAGTCCATCCTCTCCGTCTTCTACCTGCTCCACTTTTCAGAAAATGTGTGCTCAAACAGGCCGTTTGGATTTTCCCTTCATGACATCACAAAGGGCAGTAGCCCCTCCCCCAGGTGGGTGACACTCCCACAGCTCAATATATGACTCATAGGGTGTGACTGCACCGCATCAAACACTGACATTGGGTTTAATTCCAAATCACCAGAGGTCCTCAGGCAATCCTGTTCAAACAAGATGTTGAACACTTTGTAACCGCCTGTTCTTACTAACTTACTGGCTTTTGGGCTTGGACCGGTGTGTAACCGTCCAGTTCTGTCATGGGGAACTCCAGTCCTTTCCTCCGCAGGTCTTCATACACGGACACCACACCCGTCAGGTCAGGTGAGCTGCGGAATGCATCGGCCCACGCCTTAACCAGAGAAAACCAGAGATTATTCACAGCCTGCAGTTCAACAACGTGACAACAATAAGACTGAAATAAATAAAGCAACACCCTGATTTATGTCTCCGTGCAGCCACAATGTCGTCAAACATGTACAGCAGCATTTCTCACCTGTATGATGCTGAGCACTCGGTCGTGGAGGACTAAAGGAGGGTTGTTTCTCGGGATGATCGACCGCACCAGAACTCCTTCTACAAAATCCCGTGTGGTCACCAGGATGTGAAACCTGTAGCCGCAGTTTTTCACACAGGTCTCGAGAACCTACAATCATCAAGAGAATCCACAGAAGGCTTCACTTTATATTCAAAGAATAACAAAAATAAGGACCGACAAGCAGATATAAAATGTATTTCATGAACTAAACATTACATCACAGGTCAACCTGCTCAGCCTAAAGTACGCTATTTGCAGTTGGTATTTTATAACTAATCATTTAAAGGTGACATATTCTCCTCTTCTTCTTCAGTGTAAATAAGTCTCAGAGCTCCTCAAAACATGTGTGTGAAGTTTCTTGTTCTAAATCCACTCTGATCCTGTATTTGATCATGTCTATAAACCCCTCTATTTCAGCCCTGCTCAGAACAGGCTGTTTCTGTGTCTGTACCTTTAAATATGTAAATGAGCTGTGTCTGACCACTGAAAACAACAACGTTCCCAATGTAAGGTGCCTATAGGACTTTGATTTCGGTTGCCATGGTAACATATTGAAGTGATCTGGGATCCCCGACGAGCCTCGCCGTGGATGAATGAGAGCAATGGGAGAGAAACACTCACAGTGAGCGCCAGCATGACCTCCTTGAAGTTCTTGTTTCCCACAATCCTTTTCTTTAAGGCTCTGATGGCGTCTCTGGGCCTGAAATCAACAAAACATTTTCAACAGTCAGAAAGCGTGAAACCTCCAGAGGACGAGTTTGTGCTTGATGCAGACGGATAACACACACACACACACACACACACACACCCTTCCTCTGCGCTGTTGATCAAGTCACAGATTTCCATGTTGAGGGCCCAGTCATCTGACGGCAGGCTGGAGCCGGTCGCACTCTCTGTGGAGACATAAACAATGGAAACACTACTTAGGAGGTTTTATGAACCTGATGATACAGCACCTTACAGTCTCTATTCATTTATAAACTGAATAAAGTATTTCTCATCCTGATAAAATAATGACAGCTCTTTTTATTCTGAATCATTTTAATGTGTGACAGCTACAGATTGACGCTAGATATTCTGAATTTCCATTTTTTTTTAATTAATCAACAGGCGTAAATACATTTAATCAGATATGGAAAGAGATGAGCAGCCTATTTGGATTTGAATGCACAGTTTAATAACTCGTTTTCAATAACTCTCCTTTAATTCCATCAGAGGGTGATAACACATGAGCAGTCATTATGTCTAAATCAAGAATGTGAATGTAATTTAGGTCAGGAGGATGTCGGTCACTGATCGTCCCTCCCAGCTAATAGCAGGATAAACAGACACTGAGACAACCAATCAGATTGCACATCACGGCGGAGAAGTCCCGCCTCTGCAGGATCATTGCTTGGCGGACCTGTCACTCAAAACCACAACCCTGTAGCTCCTCTGTCAATCTTACATTTAACCCGGATTTTTCACATGAATGCAAAAACAAAAGGTAATATAAATCTCGTGCCCTGATAATCATTTTAAAATAAGAATGAAGAGAAAAACTCGCGAGATTTCAGAGTGTCGTCTGCGTGATGACTCCGCTGTAAAGGTGACTGAAGCGTTTTGCCTTTCACAAATCCTAATCCCGGTGTTTTCCCAGCTCACCGATGCGCTGTCCCACCGGCGTGCTGAACGGATTCCCCAGTAAGAAGTCCATGTCGAGGGGGGCAGCTGAGGCTCCACAGAAGCACCGACGGTCCCCGCACCGAGCCCAACGCAACAACAGATCCCGCAGAGTCCCGCACACTGCCGCTGCTCACGCAAAGTGGGGCACCAGTTGAGCTGCGTCATGCGTTAAAGGGGAAGCAGCCCTGCAGTGAGCACTCTGTGGAGGTGATGAATGAAAGCGCTCCACACACAGGCAAGCCGAGTCTCTGCGCTCACAGCGAAGTGCTCTCTGATCCAATTCACATCGATTAATCAGAGAAATAAAATCATTACTGGTGCATTCTGGGAGCGTGCAGATCGAATCACTGCACGAGGACAGCCTTTTGTTATTATGAAAACTGAATTCACCGAATTTGAATTAATATTACAGGTACTGTTAGTAATGAGAGTGTTTCATAACGACACACTGTCCTCATGTTAAACCCTTAAATTATTTATTAAAGAAAAATAAAACCTGAAGATGAATTATTCGATTTTTTTGCACCAAACTGATTTTGGTGTTGTTTGGTTTCCTGCCACAAGGAGGCGCTGTTTGCTTTCTGCCTGATTCTTAACCTCCTGGTTGTTTCAGCTGATTTCTGTTTTTTTTTTAAACAGACAGTGTGAACGTGAATGCAGCATTAAAACAAAATAAACACCTGATTAAAGACCCTAAGGTGGGCCCTCGAGTCCCCCCCTCCTAACTTTCTATATAAAACCCTTATTCAGTGTTTTTGTTGTTGTGGTTATCGTGCATCCAGCAGCTCAACATTTACTGTAAAATAATATTAAGAATAGTTTTAGATCTAAAGAGATTATTTTAGCATCTGTGGGGACTCTATCTGCAGATTTCCTCCTCTATTTCTCTCTCCTCTTCTCCTTCTTTCCTTTTTTTTTTTACTTTTCTTCTATTTTATTTAGCTAAACTCTGGATTTGTCCTCTCCCTGTTTGGACAGAGTGGATTTAATATCCAGGAGGAAACCCCAGCAGGTCTCTCATGTAACTCTGAGTCTGAGAAGTCAAGGCTGCAAAAAGGAAAGAAACATGAAGTCTCTAATTGGCAGAGCGTGATATCACCGTTCTGTTACACGTCTCATCCAACGCTGTGAAACAAGAACGAGCAGCTTTTTTAAGCAGCGACCAATTAGAACCGTTTGGCTTCAACTCGTCTCTGTTCACAGCGTGAAGCCTCCTGATTGGTGCTCACAGCCGGCAGATTAGATACAGAGGAGAGAGAGTTTCTGCACAGCTCTGTAAATAACCAGCTGTGACAGCCTTCATCATCTCACACACACACACACACACACACACACACACACACACACACACACACACACACACACACACACACACACACACACACACACACACACACACACACACACACACACACACACACACACACACACACACTAAATGAAAGCTCGTGTTCGGCTTCATGATTTCTGCTAAAGCTCAGAATTCTTCACACTCGAAGCTCTGTCAGGTGTTTTTAATTAACGCCATCTTTAAGTCGGCTGTATGACTCACCTGGAGTTGCAGTGTGTGTGTGTGTGTGTGTGTGTGTGTGTGTGTGTGTGTGTGTGTGTGTGTGTGTGTGTGTGTGTGTGTGTGGTGAAGGCAGGCTCTGATCTGATATTTCTTCTAACTGCAGTGACAATAACACCACACACACACGGCCCCCGTGTCACCCCGTTGTCATGGCAGTGATGTCAGGTATCACTCCTGTTGTGTGTTTCAAAGACTGTACAGAAAGAAGGACGACACGACAGCTTCCCAAAAGTGAAGCCAAAACATTTGGAGCTCCCACTACCTGACTGGCTGTGGTATAGGTTATAAGCCCCGCCCCCTCCAATGTGAGTCAAACTGTAAAATCAACACATTTTGTACAACGGGAAGAGGTGAAGAAACGTCAGGGATTGAACCCTGGACCTTCAAGTTGAGAGACATCCACTCTACCACTGAGCTACAGCCATCAAGTCGTGATTTACTGTCCTCCCTCGCCTCTCACGGTTATTGTAGTCATGCACGACTTCCACCTGACCCTTTCAAGATTTTAAATCCCAAACATCGAACATGTTTGATGTTTCTCTCTGGGCAGATCGGGACATTTGATATCGTACATTATAAACAGAGAATTAACCACGATGAGATCGAAACACTTTTATCAGACATGAAATATTTGAACTTGGAGCGACCCGTCAGCGCCGCCCTGCAGGACATGTACACACACACACACACACACACACACACACACACACACACACACACACACACACACACACACACACACACACACACACACACACACACACACACACACACACACACACACACACACACACACACAGTGTCACATGACAGAGCAGGTGAGTCCACAGCAGTCTCTCATCACTGTCAGTCCAGTTTTTGTGATCAACGGCGCCGATGTCTGCTGAGATTTGGACGCCACAATTTGATCTCTGACGGCGCCTGAAACAGAAGAAAACATGGAGGACATGAAGTCAGATTTTACATTTTGGGAAATCTGTTTTTTTAATTTACGGACGCTGAGTATGAGCTAATGCTAACAGCTGATTGGCCAAGAGAAGCACAAAGACAGCAGGTGATAGGTTGAGACTGATAGCTGGATTTGTTTTGGGGGGGGGGTTTCCAGTGGGATCATCTGGTTTTGTTTGCTTCCTCATGCTGCAGCTTCCTGGGTAAACTCACCTTTTCCAGGTAACGTCTTTGGGAACTTGGAGTCTAAGAAGGCGGCCATTTCTCTGTCCTCCTCTCTTTCCCTGAGGAGAGAGGATGCACAGAAAACAAAAGAGGGCTTCATGTGGATCAGTTTTCATCAGGATCAGTAACTCTTCATCATGCCGAGTGTTTCTGTCACCTCAGACGTTCAAACTCCACGTCGTCCACCAGGAAGTCTCTGGTCTCCACCAGCTTGTTGATCTGCTGCAGCAGCTCGTCCTCTCGCTCCCTGTCCTCCCTCGACTTCTCTCCGTCTGCTCAGACACAAACAGCTGTTTCCTGTTCTGATTTTCACATCTGCAGGTTTAATGAAGTTTCTTTAATGTGTGTTTTTTCATTAACCTGGAATGGAGACGAGTTTCTGCAGCTCCGTCTTCAGTCTGGTGATTTCCTTGCAGAGCTGGATGTCGTCCATCCTGAGAGGAAAACAAACGACATCAGCTCCCGTCAGGTTGAGCGAGGTCATTTATAAACGCTGGTCGTCACAGAATGGTCGTTTCCTCTGTCATGTTGCAAACAAATATCAGAGAGAAAATGTTTTTAGACTCCTGACGAGAGCGAGAGCGAGAGCGAGAGCGAGGTCGGTGAGTTTCTCATCTGAAATAAAAATGTATTATTTGTTTATGAATCACACCTGAAAGTGTCAGAACTCACCGTCTGACTCTGATTATTCTCAAAACATCAGCGTGTGTGTGTGTCAGTGTGTGTGTGTGTGTGTGTGTGTGTGTGTGTGTGTGTGTGTGTGTGTGTGTGTGTGTGTTCTATTATGTTGGTGAATAAGAGGAAAAAGTCTCGCTCTAAAGTTTCTCTCTCTTTTCTTGTGCAGCCACATTATGTTGTTTTACGCCCTCGCTCCTTCACCTCCGTCCTCGTGTGTGAGTAACGAGGACGGTCTCCGCAGAGAAAGAGAGAAATGATTAAAAGAAAGGATGAAAAGAAGACTGTGTGTGTGTGTGTGTGTGTGTGTGTGTGTGTATGTGTGTGTGTGTGCAGTCTGCAGAGACCTGAAATAACCACGCTGTTTTATTCTCTGCGCTGACGGTCACAGTTCATCATCGTTCTTCCTGATGGTTTGTTAAAGTCTTAAATATATAAATCAAGTATCTCCTCTGAAAATAACTGTGTGAGTCATGACTGTCTACAATGGGTGTAACACCCGAGTCCCACTGTCTGTGATGTTTTCAGAGTTTTCAGAGTCCTATCTTCACTTTGTTTACATCGCCAGGACGGCCGGCTGACTCCTCCCCTCGTGTATAAAAGTTGTTTAATTGAGGGACTAGAGAAAAGAAGAATAACATACTGTACTCACTGCTTAACTGTGTTTCTAGATCACGCTCATTTCAGGTAAATTTACATGCAGTGTGAAGATACCAGCATAATAAAGATCACTAGCATTAGCATGCTAACACAACAATGCAGCGCAAATTGTTTTGGTTTCATGCTGGTGCTCAAGGGCGACATCTGCTGGATCAAAAAATCACATGAAGCCTTTAAAGTGTCTCAGAGCAGCAAACATTTCCACTGACTCATCCTTTAAGTTAAATAAGAAGTAGATCTTACATGTATCTGAGCTCTGACTCTCTCCGTACCAGGATGTCTCGTATCCGTACGATTTTGCCCAGCTCTCCCTCGATGTCTTCGATGGTGATCGTGGAGTCGGCCATCGAAACGACGTCCTCCGCTGAAACACACACGAGACACATTTCTAAGCACTTTGAATTGTCAGGTGTGATGAACACAGTGTCTAAAAGTCAACTGGTCAAAGGTTCCTCTCTGAACTACAGACCGCGTGTTAATCCAAAGACAAAGTCTTCAAGCTTCACTGAACAGCTGTACAGCCCCTTCCCCCTCCCCCCACCATGCAGCCTCCCACTCCTCACTGTGAGCGATGAGTCACCTAGCCAAGCTCAGATCGTCTTTTAATTACCTGACCTTGTGTGAAAAGACTTTAGGATCATCCTCTCTGAATCAGCCGCACAACAAACGAGCCGACTTCATGTATCTGACCAACAGCTAAGGCTGAGGGGAACCATTTAAAGGTGAGAGGTGTCTCACTGTGAGGTGATGCACCAGGAAGGGACTCAGGTTTTATACCCAATCAATGAGATCTTAAATTTAATGAAGGACAGCAATTCAGACCCGACATTAAACTTTCTAATGAATTCGACAAACCAACTGGAACGCTGCAACAGCTGTTTTTAACTCGTTTCAAATCAAAGTTTCAAATTCTGGTATCATGACCCTACTGGCAACAACGTTTTTTTTTTTTTTTTTATTATTCTGACAGAACAAATCCAAATTCAACAGCCAAGTGACATTATGTGGGTTATGTTGTTGAATATGTGCTATAAAAGAAAAAGCTATAAAATGTTTTCTGTGCAATTCTTGTTAAAAAATGTTGCAAACATAAATAAAACACGCTCAATGGAAACAAACAATGGAGGACCGAGGATTGAGCCCTGAGGAACGCCACAAACTTCTCTAACATTCAACAAAATATATATTTTTTTAAACACTCAAAGTTTACTTTAATTTCCTAAGAGTGTCTAAGGATTTTTATAAGAAGAAACTGTGACTATGTGTTGCTCAATATATGGGGGGAAAACCAGTTTGATTATTTCCCGAAACAAGTTTGAATTCTTGCATGTTCGGTGGAGATATAAAGACTTTCTAGAAAGAGTAAATCATCAAAACTACAGCTGAAGTGATTACTTAATTAACAGGTTAGTTAATTAGGCAGAAAGGGAACTATTATGACAATCATTTAAAACATGTTATTTGTCTATTTTTAAAGACATGAGGACATGCTGCTTATGAGGGACAAAAACCCTGAAAACATTTTCAACACTTTTATAATGAAACCTTTTTCAAAAGGGAATAATTGTCAAGTTGTCAAGGTGTTTAAGATCTTGCACCAGACAATAAAAATCACTTTGGGACTAAATATTTAATAGATATTTCCCACTTTCTCTATTATGTATTTTTGTAAATGAGAAATCTTAAGATGTTTAAAGTCTGATTAAAAAAACATTTTAACACATTTTTCTGCAGAAACTAAGACTGAGGTTTCACTTCATGTCTGATTGTTATTAAAGCTGCTCACTGTGGGGGTCTGCAGAAGCTTCAGATCTCTTTTTGCAAATGAGACACAACCTCTAATGTCACTAATTCATGCAGCCAGTAACATTCAAGCGTTCAGTTCAATGTAACCACCAAACACCTTCAGACTCACCTGATGTCTCCATCTCTCCGTGCACCTGTGTTCTCTCAGAGGAGCAGCACAGCTGAGAGGATTTTCTCTCTGCTTCCATGATTTAAATCCAAACTCAGCTCTGAAAATGTCAAACAAACACTTCTGAACTAGGATGCATCGACTGAGTCCACGCAGCGGGTTGCACCGAGTGAGGAGAGCAGATAGAAGATGCTGAACAGACTCTCAGAGAGGAGGAGCAGCTCTCTCTGCGCAGGCGCCACCTGCTGGCAGAGCAGCGCTATGACACCCAGAGAGACAGTTTAGTGAGACTACATGGGAAAAGATTACATTTTTAACAATGGTGGAAAAGAATAAAGATCCTGAAATTGGAACGGACAGCTGAAGAGGGACAGGAAATGTCGAGAGAAGAGAGAGAACATGAGCATGTAGCCAACCGCTAGGCTATCTGTCCCTATCTCCCCTGTATGTTCTTCTTCTTCTCTCTAGTTCTTGACTAAAACAGCTTTTATACACAAGGGGAGGAGCCGGCCGTCCCGTCCATGTAAACACGGCTCTGACAACAACACAGCCAGCGGGACTCGAGCTTCTCCCTCATTGTAGACAGTCATGACTCAGAGACACATTTACACAGGACACACTGGATTTTGTGTTTTTAACTCGGCTGTTTTGTTTCAGACAGGAAGAGACGTGCAGATAATTTGGCCCCTAATGAAACTCATCAAGACGAACACTGAAGATTCAATTTGAGACTCGAGTTTGCCGTCTTAATTTTGCTTCCTGCATTTTTCTGAGCTCAGCAATGTGGTGAAGATTTAGTTGCAAATGTATCATCTTGTGCCAAAACAGAAGTGGAATGAGAGACTCTTCATGAGATAAGCAGCCTGGGTGTGGTGACGTTTAGTTTGGCCTCACCTTGTGCACACGTCTTGTGTCAACATCACGTCTCTGTCGTCTGAGCTGCTGAACCAGCCTCGTGTCTCTGTGTCCGTCTTCTACCCATAATCCTCCTGCTGCTTCTGTTTGCTCGCTGCAGCCATGATTGCTCAAAAGGCTCAGGTGGCGCAGAGAGAGAGTCCATTAAGAGAGGCGGCACTTCACCTGCAGACTGACGCACAGCAGCTGAGTTCTGATGGAGAACTTATGAGCAGTAATGAGAATGAAAAATTCAGTATTTAGATTTTAATTAAACCTGAGAGGAGAAAAAGAAGAGCTCTGCTACCTGAAGATACAGAGACACACTGAGAGCTCACTGAGCAGGGAGAACTCATATCAGGGTTTTTAAACACAGACACAAATACAGAATAAGACCCCGAGTCCACCTGGTGTTTTTTTCTGAGCGTCTTTTTAAAGTTATTTTCAAAAAGTAGAGCGTTTGCAGCAGCATCTTTTTTCCTGAGCGCTCCGCTCGGTGGACACGAGGCCTTTAGAGTGAAACATTCTGCACTTTATCTGTAAATCAATTTTGCACATCGTAAATCATTGTTCTCTCCTAACTTATTGTTTGTAAACTGTCTCTTTATCATGTAATGCTTTTTATGACGTGTGCTGCTGCCCTCTTGGCCAGGTCAGCTTCTGAAAGAGATCCTGATCTCAACAGGTTATTTACCTGGTTAAATAAAAAAAACTGAACTTTTATTGAATGTTCGAGCTGCAGTGAAAACAGACACTTTCTGTGCACATCTGACTTTAATGAAACTTTTAGAATATTTCACATCAGAACTCTTTGTCGGCTGCAGAAGTCTCTGCATTTTTTTCACCTGTTTTACCGGCAACATGGCACTCAGGTGTTTTCATATCATCACATGATATTTAACCTGATAACCTGCTGGGTTAATAAATCGAAATGAAGGAATCCGAGGAGCATCAGACAGCCTCACAGTTATTTTTACATGTCCCATGTACTGAGGCTGTAGTCATCGTCGTGGCAACTCGACCTCACTCTCTCTCCTCCAGGCACTTCCTGTCTCTCTTTAGCGTCCTTTATCAATAAATGCAAAAATAAAAAAATTAAATAAAATGATGGTATCTGATTGGTGCATCGACTGGCATCCTCAGAGATACTTGACACCACATTTTGGGTTTTATCGAAAGCAAATATCGATACCACTATCGGTAACAGAACCATTTTGACCGCCCTCTGCTGGACAAACTACAAACTGCAACCGTTTCCCTGACAAAGATTGTTTTCTGCAGCTCATGTTCTTAAAAAAAAAAAGTTATTAATGGAACCTGAAGGGAGAAAATAAAGTGACATCTGTGAATGATATCCATCAGTCAGTTTCACTTGGTGACTCTCCGTCCGTTGTTGTTGTTGCTCCGGTCGGTCTCCATCGCTTCGTCCAGCCAGTCTCTCTCCTGCTCAGACTCCGAGTCGCTGCCTTCGCTCGCATCGGCCGCCAAAAGCCTCGAGTAGTTGATCCTGCGCTGGCGAGGAGTTTTCCACTGCAGCAGAGGTAAACACACGCACCACACCGTCAGACACAAGGCCACGCCCCTGAACAGCCACGTCAGCCCAAACCGCTGAGCCACCAACCCGCCGCCGAAGCTCCCTAACCCGCTGCCCAGGTGCAGACAGAGGGCGCTGTAGATCCTGCTCACGCTCCTCTCGGACCCGGGCGTGGCCAAGTCCTCGCACTGCGCCCGCACGGCCCACCACACGGCGCCCGCGCTGAAGCAGCTGAACGCCTGAGCCGGCAGCGCGGCCCACGGTGCCCACAGGAAGGAGTAATAGAAGCACTGCAGGCCGAGGGTTGCGGCCCCAACGGTGAGGACCCTCCCTGAGGCGAGGACTTTGGATATTCTGCTCGCCAGCAGAGGAAAGGCGGCCTGAGAGAGCAGAGCGAGGGCGACAGAGAGCGCCATGTGCAGCTTGTTGCTCCCGTGATCCTGCATCTGCCACAGGAGGAAGTTATCCACGGCCGCGCTCGCCGCCCCGACCAGCAC